AAAAAGGGCTCAAGGATGGCTTGAGGAACACAATGAGTTTGAAGCACCGACTGTAGCTGCTGACTTTTAAAAAACACTCACCTGTCCCTTGATCCCACGGTGTCCTCCCTGCAGACTGTTTCACTGGTCGTCAGGTGTTCCCGGCGTCGGGAGCTTCAGTGTGGGCACCAAGCTGTGAGAGCTTGTGGCTTCACAGCCGGGTGCCCACTGTGCATGCACGAGTAATGCTGCACTTTTTGAATGGTTCCATATACTTTTGGGACCTGTCACGTGTCCCAGAAGATTACGTGGAGGGAGGACAACTTCTGCTTCCGAACGCCTAGGCGATCACAGCGGAAGTGGGAGTGGGTGCCTATCAATTTTGGGTACCCGCTCCTCAAAGGTGCCAATCTTTAATGGGGGATCGGGAGATCAGTCTTTAAAGTGCAACTTCCCCTTTTGAGTGGAGCTCTGCTTTAAGTTCTTTATGCCTACCTGATGTATTAATCTTTTCACAACAGATTTGCCTGTAATTTGCTAGAAAAATTTGACACATTTTTATTTCCTTGGTTTTTATTGTGAATAAATTGTAAAGAATAAAAAAAACTGCAGTTTCCTGCACTTTTTCCCAAAGCAATATGTGCATAATGTGCACATGCCACTTGTATGTAAAATAGCAGAATGGTAAGGCAGCAATATTACAGAGGGGCACTGGCTAATTGCCATATGTTCGCGCAACACATGAATGTGCTAGCAGAAGGAACCCCCCCCCCCACCCAGTGTTGTCTGGATGATCCCCAATTTTTCATAGAATGCTTCCTGCCTGTATCCAACTCCTGTGTGCCTTAGGCAATCCATAGTGTTGACAACATTCATCCTGCCTCCTTTCTGCCTGTGCCTCCAGCGTTCTCAGCGTCTTTCCAGCCTGTATCCTGTTCCATTGTGACCCTGTGAACCAGAATCTGCATCCAGCTCCAGCGTTAAGACTCTCGTCTTTGTGTTCTGTTTCCCTTGGCAATCCTGCCTGCCATAGACGTTACTTACTACTTACCCAAATTCTCAGATCCCTGTGGTGCATATCCATACACAGCCTTGAGAGCTGTCAGTAGCCAAACCATCATTCCTTGCAGCATGCTCTGGTGAAGACCAGGTGAGTCCTTAGATCCTGTACCTGCAACGAGGCCTCAGCTTCCCTAAACACAAGCTTTAAGTGCTATTCCTTCAGTGCCGCCAAGTGTGGTTTTTTCCAAGACTCCACTGGTGCTCTGTGTCTCATCTGTGGCTTATGCCACTGCCTAGCCCCAGCTGCTATAACCAGATCCCGGTTAGCCAGTCTACCCCTAGTGGGAATGACTCCCATTAATCGCATATTACATTTTAATAAAACAGACTTTGCTTTTGATTTTTGATACAATATAATTTTTACATAAGAAAGTAAATGAAAATGGCTTGGACAAACGTTATGAGACCCTCAACCTAATATTTTAGTTGAAAACTTTAGCAACACTCAGTGCAAACAAGCAAATTCTGCAGCTCTCAATGAGATGAGAATTCTGCACCTGCCAACAGGTAGTTTTGTCCACTCTTCTTGAGCAAACTGTTCCACCTGTCCTAGGTTTGAAGGTTGCCTTATCCATACTGCACATCTCAGCTCTTTCCTAGATTGTAGGAGCAGCTGAACTAGATGAACTTATGTCCTTTTTTTAGCTTAAAGGAAAAGTTCACGTTTTGTAAAATGTTACACCCATATTCAGGGTGTAACAGGTTACGAACAAGCCAGATGCAGCAAAACTGTTCCAAAACATGACGTCTCCTCCATTTTCACAGTAGGTATAGTGCTCTTTCCATTGCCAGACACAGCAAAGCTGCCCGAAAACATGACGTCTTCTCCATGTTTCACAGTAGGTATAGTGCTTTTTCCATTGAAAGCTTCATTATTCATCTGTGAACAAAGAGCTGATGTAAATTGCTAAAAAGCTCCAGCTTTGTCCCATCTGTCCAAAGGACATTTTCCCAGAAGCACTGTGGCTTGTCAATATGCATTTTAGCAAATGCCAGTGTGACTTAACTTTTTTTTTTTCCCAACAGTGAAGTTCTCCTGGGTCTTATTGCTTTGTGCCCACTGTCACTAAAAATAGTGATGGATGGTGCATTCAGACACTGATTTTCCTTGACCTTATAGTTCAGCTTGTATCTCTCTGGAAATTTCCTTTACTCAGTCGACCATTGACACGATTCTTCAATCTGTTCAATTTGAGGTCGATTTTCTTCCTGTGGCTACATCCAACTATGCATAGTAAAATCCTGAGAAAGCCCCACGAAAAAGAGCAAAACACATTGATGCTGAGCACTACCACAATCCCCTTTGTGCTGCCTAATGGCACAGCAAGACACTATACCAAACCGTGTATCATGCAAACTATGTATAACAGGTGATAAAACTATCCTGAGCAAGTGACAAATATGCTGAAAGCAGGTAAGGAGCACACAAGGGATGAGGAAACATAGTAGGATTATGTGCACCGGCACAACTATCAGATGGATTTGAGCATGTTTGCACCTAAAGCTGGCTAAATCTATGCTCAGCAAACAGCAAGTATAATGAGCTCTGGTCTCACATAGCATGGTATTAAAAGCCAAGAAAAGCAAACAATTGACAGTTATCCATAATCCACATTCATTTATGGAGAACTGCAGGCCACATTATGGCATATAAGCAAAGGCATGCATTTAACGATTAAGTGGAGTTTCCAATATAGGTCACACTATAAGTTGTACTTCGTTTTATGAGGTTTAGGGGGAAGACACTCCACCTAATCCAAGTCTTGGAGAAAGTTATTGCATTTATATTGGGACAGGAAAGTACCCTTTTTGATTACCGTATTTTCTGGCGTATAAGACGACTGGGCGTATAAGACGACCCCATACTTTTCCTGCTAAAATGTAGTGTTTGGGCTATACTCGCGGTATAAGACTACCCCTCTAGCAATGCACACCAGTGGGAGGAATAGTGCCCTATCATTGGTGTCAGTGGGAGGAATAGTGTCCCATCATTGGTATTAGTGGGAGGAATAGTGCCTCATCATTGGTATCAGTGGGGGGATAGTGCCTCATCATTGGTATCAGTGGGGGGAATAGTGCCCCATCATTGGTGTCAGCGGGGGGAATAGTGCCCCATCATTAGTATCAGTGGGAGGAATAGTGCCCCATCTTTGGTGTCAGTGGGGGGAATCCTGCCCCATCATTGGTATCAGTAGCAGGAATAGTGCCCCATCGTTGGTGTCAGTGGGGGGGAGGAATAGTGCCTCATCGTTGGTGTCAGTGGGAGGAATAGTATAGTACTCCATCATTGGTATCAGTGACACCAATGATGGGGCACTATTCCTCCCACTGACACCAATTACACTTGCTGACCTCTGTTATAGTATGGTGCTGCAGCAGCCAGCATATGTGGTTGCAGCAGCACCTCTACACGGCACACTTACCGGCCGCTCCTTCTCTCGATTTTTGCGGGGCCGCTCTGCTCCACCCCCTAGTTGGTGATTGGCCGCTTGTGTGCCTTGCTGAGCTACAGTTCTGGCGGCCAATCACCGGTGAGGAGGCAGAGCCGAGCAGCCGCGCGAACATCCAATGGCCGAACAGAAGGAGCAGCCGCGCTTCCTGGACCGGATCGTCGTGGGACTGGAGCCAGGTAAGAAACAGCAGCCCCTGCCCACCACTGTACTTAGTGTCCCTTCCATTGGAAGGGGGGGGGGGGGGGGGGGCGGCAGTGCCGCCCCCCTAAAAAGTGTCAGTATGCCGTATACCGGCGTATAAGACGACCCCCAACTTTTGAGAAGATTTTCAATGGGTAAAAAGTCGTCTTATACGCCGGAAAATACGGTACCTCCATCTGTAAGGATTGGTAAAGGTTATATATGAAGCCCTGCATATGGCGCTAAAAACACTATGGTATGCTTATGGCTGCTTGTGAGGAGGGGAACAAAGAAAAGCGGAACTGCCACCTTGGTCAAATCCAAAGAACGCCATGCACTATAAAAAGTGAAAGCACACCATAGTAGAAACTTAAGCTGATCACACAAGGCTTGTATTTCGTCTGATGCCTCTTGCACCACCCGACTTGCCAAAACTTGATTGGAAAATAAAAAAAGCCAGATGTAAAGTTGGCAGCCAGTGACTGCATCCAGTCAGACGCAGTCACAGTTCAGGTATTCAAGCAGCTGTAGATGCTTGAGTACAATAGCCAGCAGGGGAGATGCCTCTATCCATGCAAGTCAGCAGTTGATGCACTAGACCAGCAATGGGCAAACTACGGCCCGCGAGCCGTATACGGCCCGGCGGACCTTTTAATCCGGCCCGCGGAGCTAGGCTCCCCTCACAGTCCGCCGTGTAGCATGAAAATCTGTCTCCTATGAGGATCTGTCCCCCCTCGACGTATCTGCGCATGTGCCGGAGATCGCCGATCGGCTGCTAATGCCTGAAACTGCACATGCGCAGATATGTCGAGGGGGACAGATCCTCATAGGAGACAGATTTTCATGCTACACCGGAACGGCTCGGGAACACGGTGAGAGGAACGCGCGGAGCAAAGGTAAGTGAATTGACACAGGGGGGACTTGGGGACTTAATATGGGGAATGAATTACTATAGGGGGGATGAATTACTATAGGGGGGATGAATTACTATATGGGGGATGAATTACTATATGGGGGATTAATTACTATGCTTACTATGGGGGAATATTACTATACTTACTATCAATGACACATACACATCATTCATCTACTCTTGGTCCGGCCCCCGGGTCCAATATATGAACCCATTGCGGCCCTCAAGTCAAAAAGTTTGCCCACCCCTGCACTAGACAATCAAGACCACAGAAGTGAAATGGAGGAACTGACAGTGGTTGTTTCATTTCAGTAATTGTATTTGGCAAATAATGCTGTAGTTTAAAGGGAATTCACTGTCCTTTGCTAATAAATATCTTCTCTTCAAAATAAAAAAAAAAAAAAAAAACTTACATGAAGATTTGCTTTCATTTGCTTGATTCCAGCTAGCCTAGCCTCCCATCTCTGTTTAAGTTGAAGCCATTCCTTATGAGGTGGTGCAACTCTAAGGGAAATTAGACACATTGCAAAGAAGTAAAAATGCATTGATTTTACTAAATATTGAAACAACAAAATAGAATGCAATTAAAAAGTGTGATAAATACCATCAAACTTGACGACACAATGTGCAACCTCCACAATACCTGGGACCCATGGGTCACAAGCTTTTTGCCATCTGATTTTGATCGCCTCCTATGGGATTTATGAGATGTGTCTCCCCTCATTAGCTGTCAAGATGGTGCCTTCACGGCTCTAGCATTGCTCTTTCCTACCTCTTACCCCACTCTTCTCTTTCCTACCTCAACCCCCCCTCCTTTTTTCTCTACTTTCACAGATATGAGAGAGTCTTTGTGTTATACAATGTTCTCTTATCAGACTATTGACATGGGGTGGGGTCACATGCGTGATGTCTTCCGGGTGGCCCCGCCCCTTACCTATTTAAGTACTGTCAAACCACCAGAGCAGGCAGATAGTCTGGGGGGCCATAGTCGAAAGCGGAGCCTTTTTTTTTTAATTCTTTTTTTTTGGGTCGGCAGCGGATGTCGTAATTGACGTTGGATCTATTGCGGGGGGGCATTCTTTTATTATTCCCTGTTAATAAAGGACTTGTCAAAGACCGTGTCCTGTCTTTTTTCACATTACACGTTTTGTTTTTTTATTTTGTGAATGAGTAGCGGAACCATGTACCCCATACTCATTCACATGGGGGGGGGTGTTAAAAGGGGGCTTCCAGATTACGATAAGCCCCCTGCCCACAGACCCCCACAACCTCCGGCCAGGGTTGTGGGGAAGAGGCCCTTGTGCCCCAAAGCACCCTCCCATGTTGAGGGCATGTGGCCTGGTATAGTTCGGGGCTTACAAGGTTTACAATCTTTTTAATGGCTCAGTTCTTGCTGTTATTAATACAATAATAGCTTACTAAACGAAAAAAAGTGTGCTAAAACAAAGATCTAAAGTTTTATATTAAGTTATGTTAGGGCTAATTTCTAAAAAAAAAAAAAAAAAAAGTGCAAGCTTTCAGAACACCCATCCTGTAAGCACTGTTGCTTGTAGCAGACACATTTTTTCACATTGGACTACAGACGGTGAAAAAAGCTTCACCACACACAGATATCTCACCTGGGCTTTGTTTCCCTTGTAAATTACCTAACCTTTACCCCCTACATTTTCCAGTGTCTGAAAAAAGGCTTAAAGTGGAACTAAAGGCAGGCCCCAAGTTATGAACATTCGATTTACGAACGACTCATACTTACAAACAGAGAGAGAACCAAGAAGTGAGAGGAAATCTACCCCTAGAAAGGGAAATTCACTCTTGTAGGAGTTATCATGGGAAAAAGGGGTCTCCACTGATGATTTATCGCCAATCCTTGTTTCCACGACAACCCAAAATTTTCAAAATCTAATTGTCACAGGGACAGAAAGTGAGGTGAAATCTTCTGAACAGGAGCACAGACAGCAAAACAATTATTACAGGGGTGTTAACCCTTCCCTATGCTATCCAAACGTAAAAATATTTGTGTTTGGCTGTAGCTACACTTAAAAAATGTACCTGTATCAATTTACATATAAATTCAAATTAAAAACAAACTTACAGACCCTGTCGTGTTCATAACCTGGGGACTGCCTGTATATGCAAAACTTTTTTTCCCCCATTTTGAATAAAGCAAAGGAGGGTTATAACCACCGGCAGATTTTTTTGCCATCTGTGTCCCATGGAGGAAATTTCCTTTCACATCCTGTCATAGCCTAACAGGAAATGAGAGGAAATCCATTGAAATTAAGGGAATTCCTTGGGGACTTCCAATTCACCAAGACAGTGTCCCCACTGAAAGATGGGATTTTCTTTTACTTTCAATAACAGGAAACAGGACAAATGGAAAGGGTGAATCTCCATAATGGGGGCACAGACAGCAATAAACACCAGACAAGCGGTCTAATCCCTCTGCAATTTCTCCAAAACTAACAAAAAGCCTTTAGTTATACTTTAATTAACAGTAGATTACTGCTGTTTTGGGAATTTTATGAAGATAGATAGATAGATATCGGGCAGTAAAAATAAACTGTATTTTTAAAAATTCAGGTGTTTTAAATGAAAACATAAGAGAAGTAAAGTTTTTTTGTCTGCCTGGAACAAGCATTGCTTTTATTAAAATGTTAGAAATAAGCTTTAATTAGGTTCCATTTCCTGACTAACGGGGATGAATGCAGTGGATACATAAGAGGACTAAAGGGTTTTTTGTTTGTTTGCCTAGAACAAGCTGTGCTTTTATTAAAATGTTAGAAATAGGCTTTAATTTGGTGCAGTTTCCTGACTAGCAGGGATGAGTACTATGAACTTTATCTGCAGTAAAATTTGGCTCTCATTGGTAACCATAAACTGAACAGACTGATCAACATTTTCTCCTTTAGCTTTGTTGCTAGTGTTCGATGGTTTGAATTGATTTCTACTTTCTCTTTTTGATAGGCCATGAACTACTTACCTAAGGTAGGATAAAGTTACTTCTGCATCCTTTTCTGCTTCATCTAAAGATATAAGCAACAAGTGTCTCCGGCTCTCCAGTGAAAGCACCTTAAGAAGGAAGACTGAAGGTTAACAACCTATATTTCCAAGGAAAACATTGGATTTATGTAAGTTATCGGGTTGTGATTTACAGTTAGTATTCAATACAGAGTAAAAATAATTATATACATAATTGGTAACATTGAATAATGACACTAGTCCATCCAGTTCAACATCCTTACTGCTCTAACTGTAAAGAACCCCTTATGATCTTTTCCAACCTCATTGTGTAACAATCTGCATCATATACAGTATAAAAGTGAATGGATCCACATTATCCAATATCGGCTAGCACTGACATGTTAGTTCGAGATGCCTGTACTGTTATCTTCTAGCTGAGTGGTGGCAAGCCTATTAGATATAAGGACCCAAAGTGCAGCCCATGACATGAATAAAGAGCTTCAGATATTTGGTGGATTTTATGCTACAGAAGACTTTCAGACTGTGGACAAAGTTGTATAGATGCTCAGGGTATGGGAAATAATGCAGTAAATGGCCAAAGACTATACGGATGGTTGAAATGGCCAAAGACATACGGATGATTGAAAATTGAGAACGTGCTGCAAGAGATAAAAGCCAAGAACAGAGAGCGCCTCAAATGAGCCCATAGAATACTTCTGTAAATGTTCTGCCTACAGCAACATGAAAAAATTGGCATCACCAAATTTGATTTGCCCAGAAAGATCCAATATAAAAGATTAGAGAAAAAAAAAAGGAAGGGCACATTCTTTTCTATGTAATTTGCTGATGAGGCCTGAATAAATGACCAGGCTGACTGCTGGGGACCCAGAATCGCTCACCTGGTAATAAAGGTGACAAATTGGGCACCAGGGATCAAGAGCAACTTGGAAACCCCTAATCCTGGTGGGTCCGGACATGCAAATATTTACATCTTAGTAAGTTTTTGGCTCCACCCCCCTATGGCTCCCTTTTGATCAACTAATGCAGTCCATCACACTACTAAAACAACACTGACCCATGAGAGGCTGGAGGGGTTGCCAAGAACTAGCAAGCGGCACAAAAAGCAAATGGGCACATACTAATCCTTTAGGACTAAACCTTCCAAAAAATATAGAAATCTGCAGAAAAGCCACAATCAAAGAGAAATCATAAAAGTCCACATGGGTGCTGAAGACCAACAGTGACTCACAGGAAGGTTGGCGGAAAAAAAGTAGCCAATACACATTTTCTAAAGCAGGTTTAAACTGCTAAGTTACAGGCAGTCCCATACTCGCTCCTCTCTCTGATGGGTGCAGGCTTCTAGTGGTTCACTGTCCACTTCATGATTGTAGTGTTCAAACAATGGTGGAGCAGTCTGTACATCTGAAGAACGAATACATTTTTTACAAGGCTTTTTATATGCAGAGTGGCTTCCTTTTCATTGTTTGAACATACATTTTCAGTCTCACGGCATCTCAATAAAACTGCACCAAACACCACAAAACCTGCTATTTATAATTTTGTTTCGACTTACAAAGGTATTGAAGCCAGAAAGCCCAGCAAGTAGAAAGAGGCCAATGATAGCAAACGTACACATTTGTCATGGTAAAAGTTTGTTTCAAATACTGTATATCCTATGCACTGTGACTATGACCATTGCAAACAACCGTCAGGAAAGAAAAACTTGCAGAGAAGAAAGTTGGGGTATGGTTCTTAGGAAGTACCTAATGAGCTGTTGAGGACAAAGAAGACAGTCTTTTCTTTGTTCAATCTTTTTATGAGTCAGCCCTACTGAACTCTGAAAAAAATAAATATTTTACCTCAGCGTTTTGTGCACGCTCTAGCTCCTTCAAGGCACCCTGTGTAACCTCATTTTCTTTCTTCCTTAACGACTCCAGTTCGGCATCCAACTCTTCCCTGCCAATTAGAAGATGAGCTATATGAACTACGGAATTTAATACACTGTGTATAATGCCTAAAGATAACAATGGCATCTTTTACAGGAAAAATAAGAGGATGCAGCGGTTTATAATGGTGGAATTATCTTCTAGTCTGACAGTAGTCAATAACAGACTATTATTTCTGTTAACATGTACATTCAGTATACACATTAGTCACAGAGACATACAGTATATACGACCAGACATTATGTATATAACAACTGAATGCACTTAAAAGGGGGGATGATAGAAGTGTTTACAAGCAGCACACACAATGACTGATACTGTTTCACATGGCCAGACTTTCCACCTTTATAGAAGATTGAAAAAAAAAAAAATAAATAAACATACATACTCACCATTATGGCTGCAGCATTGCTATGATATTGCAGCCGTCGTCCACAGAATCTAAGGCCGAGGACTGAGCTAATTGGTCAGTTTTCAGTCTTATTGGAGCATAGAGCAGTGACTGTCAGTCACTGGTCTCCAAACTGTCCCTTCCAGCACTCACTGGAACGCTAGGTTGGAGAGGGGGTTGGGCGTAGCCGGCACTGGCTCTCAGACTCACGCTGAGAGCTGGAGCCAACTGCCAATCAGGCAGCTGGGAGGATCCTGATAATATGGTTAAGATCCTTCCAGAGCCTTGAGCAGCTCTGTGACATCAGCTGACAATCGGCTTTAACCTGCTGTCAACTGATTTAGGGTCCCAGGAGAGCACAAATAGGTGCACTCCTGTGAACCGCAACAGAAGAATTGGCCATACTTCTCTTTTTAATCTTTGAACATATATCAATTCACTGTGACAGATGTTTTCATCACACAGAGACGCTGGTTACTGGTAGAATAGCCTTCTTCATCGGGTTATCCACATGTGTTACATTAGGGCCGGTGCACACACAAGGGCACCCGTGCACGTCTGCTGATAGCAGTGCAATATGTGTGTGAACTGACCATTAGACAAACTCTGCTAATACTGCAGTCTGTTGAGATCAGATTGTTAAAGTGTATGAATAGCCAAAACATTTTTTGTTGTTTTGAATAGATTTTAATTTGAACCTCTGTCAATTTTGTCTGTGTCCATGTTGGGGAATATCATCCGTTCTGTTTGTCGTGGTGACCACTGTCAAAACATCTCATCATAAAACATGATGGGAAATCCAAAAGTTGGCATCAGAACAAGAGGTAAGGTTAAAACTTCCATTCAGGATATTTGACAAGGACTCTTGTAAATGGTACTTTTTGTGTCTGAGCTGCTTTTGCCTTTTGCCCTCAGCAGTAGTTCTGATGCAAACGATGCCTGTAGGCAAGCCCTAGGATAGCCAACCTAAAGCCTGTAGGTATTTGCAAAATATTCAGCATTCCTGAACCACAGCATGTAAATTTGATAGTTGATTATTAAATATTCTTTAAAAGGTGAAATAGGAGGACAGTAAATTGCCTAAACTTTTCAAACATACCAGTACTTAATGACAGCTCAATTGACAGGTATATAAGTATTTCACAAGTATTAGGGCTTGTTCACACTTGACTAAATTCCTAACTCTTAACAAAAGCTCCTATAGCTTTAGTCAGGCGTTATTGAGCTTTAGTATGGGGGTTAGACTTGCATTTTACAAGCGTTAAAAACGCTTCCCAAACACCCTATGCATGGTTTTGATGCAGTTTTAAGCGTTTTGTATACTTTAAAACCATACCACAAACACCTATAATGTAGTTAATAGCTGCTAGCACTGCTACGAGTGTCCCCGTAGATTTGAATGGGAGGCGTTGAACGGATTCAAACTCCTCTAGACTCAACATGAGGCTTCTATTTTGAAGTGAAGCAATGCTAATGCTTCATGTTTTGATAATGTAAACAGCACTGTGTGGTGTCCATAGTATCATTTACATAGACGTTTGAGGAATGTTATCCCCTTTCCGCCAACATCACACAAATATGCGGCCACACAGAACTGGGCTTTTTTCTGTGGGGCCGCATATTTGCATACCTGTCTTTCTGCTGGGAGCACGCTGCACAGCACCCTCCCAGCACAAAGATCAAGGTGTCACCTAGCGATCGGGACTTGTGACTCCCGATTCTGGGTCACCTGATCATTGTGATAGCCTCCGTACAGCTCAGCCCCCTTGTTTTTTTTTTTCTCTACGAATGGAGGAGAGAGATACACTGAATCTCTCTCTCTCTCCTTGCAAAGAAGAAAAAAAAAAAACTTAAAAAAAAAAAAAAAGATAAATAAAATAAGAAATAAAGAAAAAATAATTTTAATTGATATCAGTGTCAGTGTGACACTAACAAAAAAACAAAATGCACACTATTGTTTCTGGCCTGTACTGTAGGTACAAACAACAAATAACATACACATATATGGTATCGCTGCGATCGTCAAGAGCTGAAAATATTATTTTGGGTTGTTCTTTGGTAGTAGGTTATGGTAGTAACAAGAAACACAAAGCTAAATTAATAAAAATAATTTATTTTTTACTATTTTGGGCCAGGTTTCCTTTGATAATAAAAAACAAAATCAGGAGATAACCATTACCATTTACCACCAAATGAAAGCCAATTTTTCTGAAAAAAACAAGATATAACCCATCTGGATGTACAAAGTAGTTGTGATGACATGTATGGTTTTAATAACACATGTCAAAGTTGCAAGATTGTGTTTAGGCGTTAGGATTTGTTTTACACTTAGGCATAAAGGAGTTAAAAAACACCCTTCAAACACTTGCTTTCAATGTCAGTGTGAGCTAGGCCTTGGTTTTGCAGCTTGTTGCAGATTAGAAAAAAATGGTAAAAACAATGACTAAAGTAAACACTTGGGAAAGAAATCACAGGAAATCAGATATTTTAGCAAAATATTCACCCTTGTGATAATTGATTCAGATAGAGCAAACAAAAAGTGAAAGCATTAGTCAAGGAAAAAAAAAAATCTAGGTCAGTAGAGAAATCCTTAGTCCAGCCAAAACAAACATTCCTTTTTAAAAGTGAACCGTGACAGATAAAACAACATGTTGGCGAACTTGCAATTTGATTTCAAAATCCCATTTCCACACTATACACAGAGTAAGTAGATCTATACAGCTTACTAAGAGATCTTGAAGGAATAAAAGATATACAAAACCTAGCACTGTTGTCTCACCTTTCTGCAGTCTGCTCAGCAAGGAGCTCCACAATCTTATTTTCAAGCTCAGCTTGCTCTTGCAGAAGGCTAAAAAAAGAAGCAATGTATTATTTCAATTAACTGGCATGGATGAACATTTCTATTTACTTCTCACATTTTCCACAATCAGACAAAACAAAAACTTTATTAAAATAGAATTCCAAACTAAAACTATCTTCAAATTGTTCCCACCCTCTCTTCTCACACCTATACTAACTACAATGTAGAAGAAAGGTGAATATACTTACCTATTCTCAGGCCGCTATGGGCAGGTCACACGATCTCCCCTGTATCAGCCAGTGCTGGCTATAGGGAAAATGACAGAGTGCTCCGACAACAGCTGGAATGCCCGAGTAGTGGTGTCACACCATAGGTTTACCAACAGCCATCCATTGTCGGCGCTCTCTCCTTTCCCCTTAAGCTGCTTGTAGATGACACAAGAGAGCAGAGAACGTGACCAGATTGGAGCGACCTGAGAATAGGCAAGTATACAGTCAAGGCCAAAAATATTGGCACCCTTGCATTTCTGTCAGATAATGTACAAACAAAAGAATTAAACATGAGAATGCCAAAGCATTTGTAATTGCAATCATTTTCTGGGCAAAGTAGTGCATTATAAGACAGAAATGAAGGGGTGCCAACATTTCTGTTATGTCCACCCTTTGCCTTTAAAACAGTATCAAAAATTTTCCTAGGTACATTTGCACACTCAACAGGTAGGTTGTTCCAACCATGTAGGAGAAATAACCACAATTCTTGTGGGGATTAAGGCGGTCTAAATTGCTTCATGTAATCTGAGACAGACTCAATGAAGCTGAGATCAGGGCTATCTGGGTCATACCTTCTCTTGCAGGATTCCATGTTTTTCTTTTCGCTGAAGATAATTCTTTATGACTTTTTGCTTTAATTCTGCTGCATAATGAACTTAAGATTGCTCAGCCACCTCCCTGAGGGTATTATGCAATTAAGTATTTGCCTGCACTTTTAGAATCGAGAAGACCATTAATTCTGACCAAATCCCAAGCTCCATATGCAGAAATGGAGCCCTACTCCGGCTTGGAATCACCACCATGTTTCACAGTATGAAGTTATCCTTATATCATTCTCCGGGCCTTCAGTGAATAAATTCCCTTTTGTTACAAACAGATATTTCAAATTTGGACTCATAAGTCCAGAACATCTGCTGCTATTTTTGTGCACACCAATTCCTGTGTTTTCTTGCACAGACAATTGCTTGGCCTTTGTTTCCATGTCAGAGGTATAGCTTTCTAGATGTACATCTTCCATACAGACAACTTCAGAGCAGACTTCTTTATACTGAGGGGTGTACCAGGGTCCCACTAGGTTTTTGCCAGGATTTGCGACTAAGTTGATATTGGCACTGAACATCTTCCGATTGAAAAGTGAAGTCAGCATAATGATAGCACTGGATATACTTGTGCCTTTTTTCAATCAAACTATATACTATAAACAACAACTCACCCTAGCTCTACTGCTCATCTGAAAGATGTGAGTGGGGTGCTGGTGATCAGGCTGGTTTTTAAATCCAAGATATATGACAAAGTAGCCGGCAACTAATTTCCTCGTCATAATGACTTTAATTGCGCACAGTGGAAAATATTAAATCCATAAACTGACGCGTTTCGGCCACATCCTTTCTCAAAGCTTTGAGAAAGGCTGTGGCCGAAACACGTCATGTTTTATGGATTCCATATTTTCCACTGTGTGCCAATAAAGTCATTATGATGAGGAAATGAGTTTCCGGCTACTCTGTCATATATCGTAAACTATATACTATGTATTTAATGTGATCTGATCACCGCCATACCAGCGCCCTGATCACCGCCATACCAGCGCCCTGATCACCCCATACACCATACCAGCATCCTGATCACACCATACCAGCATCCTGATCACCGCCGCACCCTATACCAGCGCCCTGGTCACCACCATACAACATACCAGCATCCTAATCACCACCATACCTCATATCAGCATCCTGATCACTGGCATACAACATACCAGCGTCCTGATCACCTCCATACCTCATGCTAAACACCCTGATCACTGCCATGCCCTATATACCAGCATCCAGATCACCTTCATACCACATGCTAATGTCTTGATCATTGCCATGCTCCATACCAGTGTCCTGATCACTGCCATATGTCATACCAGCGTCTGGCACTTTAGGATGTTAACTGCTCAATTTTCAGATATATATCCCATTTTTAGATTAATTTGCAGTTTTATAGACTCTATAGTTTTCACACAGACTAAATAACATACACTGTTTTGGGTTATTTGTACCCCCAAAATGTAGCAGAATACATTTTGACCTACATTTATGACGAAAAATTATTTATTTGCAAAATTTTACAACAAATACTAAACAAAAAATTATTTTGTGTTTCAAAAATTTCCAGTATTAATATATTTTTTCATCTTTTTTTAATATATTTTTTTTATTTACATCTTTTTTTTTTTTAAAAAAAAACCCAGTTGTGGTCAAATAACACCAAAATTGTTTTTCAAAATTTCCAGTATTAATATATATATATATTTTTTTAATATGTTTATTTTATTTACAGATTTAAAAACAAAACCCAGTTGTGGTCAAATAACACCAAAAGAAAGCCCTATCCCTCTCTCAAAAATTGATAAAAGTTTCATATGGGTACAGTGTTGCATGACTGTGTAATTGTCACTCAAAGTAAGATAGTGCTGAAAATCGACCTGGGGGTGAAAGTGCCCGAACCTGAAGTGGTTAATAACATTCAATTAAAATATGGCTTCTAAAGCAAATGTATATGCTACATAATTTTTTATTTGGTATTTTTTCCTATGAAAGTGGAGTTACCCTTTAACTTAAATCTCATCTTGTTGATCCTTAGCGCCCATTTGGTATAATTGTTTAACCATGTGACATTATGCCTGCAATATCTCCTACTGTGTGCAAGTGTATCTGGGAAAATTAATGCTGCCTTAAAAGGTGGACATACAAAATATTGATTTAGGTTCCTTTTCTGTGTATGCAAGTTATAGGCTGTTAATTGGGATTATATATATGAGGTCACATCACATTATACAAGGCACGAAAGCTGTATTACAAGCACAGAGGAAGATAAATTCTGACATATGATTGTATACCTCTCACTCTTGCTCTGCAGTCTGGAAAGTTCAATGCTTAGATCTTGTTCTTTCTGGGATAATTCTCTCCCCTCTTTCTCTGCCCTTTTCCTGGACTCTTCCCTCTTAACTGTCACATCCTGAATAGATTTTATATATTCCTGTAGCAGAATAAGGATATTATTAAACAAACTTCTGTATTTATTCTGTGAAAGGCCAGCTGATAATGTACTCCAAAATCATACAATTTTTGTAAGTAACATTTAAGTGAAAAAAAAAAATGTGAAAATTTTACGAGCCACATATAATCCTAAATGATCTTGATCCTAATTAAAGTATACAGTCAGGTCCATAAATATTGGGACATGGACACAATTCTAACATTTTTGGCTCTATACACCACCACAATGGATTTGAAATGAAACGAACAAGATGTGCTTTAACTGCAGACTGTCAGCTTTAATTTGAGGGTATTTACATCCAAAATCAGGTGAACGGTGTAGGAATTACAACAGTTTGCATATGTGCCTCCCACTTGTTAAGGGACCAAAAGTAATGGGACAGAATAATAATCATAAATCAAACTTTCACTTTTAATACTTGGTTGCAAATCCTTTGCACTCAATTACAGCCTGAAGTCTGGAATGCATAGACATCGACAGACGCTGGGTTTCATCCCTGGTGATGCTCTGCCAGGCCTCTACTGCAATGGTCTTCAGTTCCTGCTTGTTCTTGGGGCATTTTCCCTTCAGTTTTGTCTTCAGCAAGTGAAATGCGTGCTCAATCGGATTCAGGTCAGGTGATTGACTTGGCCATTGCATAACATTCCACTTCTTTCCCTTAAAAAACTCTTTGGTTGCTTTTGCAGTCTGCTTTGGGTCATTGTCCATCTGCACTGTGAAGCGGCGTCCCATGAGTTCTGAAGCATTTGGCTGAATATGAGCAGATAATATTGCCCAAAACACTTCAGAATTCATCCTGCTGCTTTTGTCAGCAGTCACATCATCAATAAATACAAGAGAACCAGTTCCATTGGCAGCCATACATGCCCACGCCATGACACTACCACCACCATGCTTCACTGATGAGGTGGTATGCTTAGGATCATGAGCAGTTCCTTTCCTTCTCCATACTCTTCTCTTCCCATCACTCTGGTACAAGTTGATCTTGGTGTCATCTGTCCATAGGATGTTGCTCCAGAACTGTGAAGGCTTTTTTTTACATGTCGTTTGGCAAACTCTAATCTGGCCTTCCTGTTTTTGAGGCTCACCAATGGTTTCCATTTTGTGGTGAACCCTCTGTATTCACTCTGGTGAAGTCTTCTCTTGATTGTTGACTTTGACACCCATACACCTACCTCCTGGAGAGTGTTCTTGATCTGGCCAACTGTTGTGAAGGGTGTTTTCTTCACCAGGGAAAGAATTCTTCGGTCATCCACCACAGTTGTTTTCCGTGGTCTTCCGGGTCTTTTGGTGTTGCTGAGCTCACCGGTGCGTTCCTTCTTTTTAAGAATGTTCCAAACAGTTGTTTTGGCCACGCCTAATGTTTTTGCTATCTCTCTGATGGGTTTGTTTTGTTTTTTTCAGCCTAATGATGGCTTGCTTCACTGATAGTGACAGCTCTTTGGATCTTATCTTGAGAGTTGACAGCAACAGATTCCAAATGCAAATAGCACACTTGAAATGAACTCTGGACCTTTTATCTGCTCATTGTAATTGGGATGAGGGAATAACACACACCTGGCCATGGAACAGTTGAGAAGCCAATTGTCCCATTACTTTTGGTCCCTTAACAAGTGGGAGGCACATATGAAAACTGTTTAATTCCCACACCGTTCACCTGATTTGGATGTAAATACCCTCAAATTAAAGCTGACAGTCTGCAGTTAAAGCACATCTTGTTCGTTTCATTTCAAATCCATTGTGGTGGTGTATAGAGCCAAAAATGTTAGAATTGTGTCGATGTCCCAATAATTATGGACCCGACTGTAACTAAAGGCAAACTTTTTTTTTTCTTGGATAGAGTGGTGACGGATCAGAACGCCTGTATAACGTCCTCCATGATGCAATGCAATCCCAATAATGTGAAAGTCCTTAATTCAAAACAATATAATAGTCCTTCAATATCAATAAAGCTGTATTTCCTCCACCACCGTGATGTGATTTATCTCCTCCATCCTCATTTCTCAAGCTCTGTGACACATGCAAACAGCTGGTGGTAATATGCGTTCACCTCGTGCAATGGACCAATACAGATCAAGGTCATAACACACTTGTTGACCCACCTTAGACATATGTGGCATCAGCTATTCCTCTCGCTCCTTCCTCCACAGTATTCATTACCCATTCATACCCATTTGGAGTCGTGCTGTGGGTATCTAATCACTGGCTTTACTAATCACTATGACCCATGTTTATTCATGCTGAGATACATTTAAAAAGAACACACAGTGCTATGTAAGTGTGGATTTTAGGAGCTTTTAATAAATTGTTACTATTCAGAGAGAACTAATGTGGTCCCATTCAATTTTTGCATGTGATGTTTTCAAGGTGATGAATTGCTGATGCCACATATGTCCAAGGTGGGACAACAAGTGTTTTTATGACCAACAGGAGGGAAGGGCAAGAAGAGTCTGCAGGAAGACCCGAGAAGAGGAGGATCCAGGCTGCTCTGTGCAAAACCACTGCACACAGCAAGTAAATATAGAAATGTTTGTTTTATTTCCAAAAATAAAAAATTAACCTTTTAGAATCACTTTAATCTAGTAACTTGTGATCTCTATTGACTACATGACTGCACTGCATAAGGGAAATCTTCATGTATACAGTATTTGGCAGTTCAGACATAGAATTAAATCTGCACATGAATTTTTTGTTCCCACCTACTGCCTGGTTACAACACAGATGCAGACCAGGTTAATGTAACAACAGAATAAATGCTTACATTGGCCGGTGCTCTTAAAGCACAAGGAAAGAAAGCTAAAAAGGAATAGGTAATATATACAAAGTCATTTGGTATACCCTGCTATGTTAAAAGAGCTAGCATCTTCTAAAAGTACAGTAAAGCTGGCCATTCATGACTTGAGGTGGAGGGGCAAATCTTCCTTGCTGTGTCATTGTATCCTGACAGCGTCCCTCTCCAGCCATCAGAATACACTGATCAACTCTGCAGCCAATTAGCTGTAGCACTGATCCAGTAAAAATATACAAACAAGCCTCTTCATGAAAAGTCGATAGACATACTAACTTCTCATGAACAGGAATGGCCATACAAGGATCAAAATTTGTCTGGTTCCCGCTGAACTGGCTGAATTGCAGTCCATGTATGGACAGCTTTATCCTTTAAAGGGTATTTAAAGCTAACCTTTTTTTAGGATAGTGTGCAGAAGAGTCAGAATTCTGTCAGGTTTTTATTGCTAACTGTGTCTCCTCTGGGGAGGATTCGCCCACATTATCTATCCTGGTGATCATTGTCACTGAGCCAAAAAATGTTGGGAAAGCCAAACAAAATGTATGCTTTTTGCTACACATTATTGCTTAGATGAGCTGTGTGCATGAAGTGATGTGACAATTGGCTGTCTTATATTCCACTAGCTGGTTAAATCCCACCTAAGTCTCTGACTGTCCCTGTGTGTCTTCAGCCAGCTTCCTTCTGATCACTACACAGGAAGAATCAATAAAAGCAGCTCTGTTGCGATAGTAAATTTTAAGTGCACTATGAACTTTCTCTGCACTGTGTTTCCCTGCATACTCCATACAGGCCAGTCGCACAAATCCATGGTTTGTGCTTCATTATTTAAAGACTCAGAGAACATTGTTGCAGAAAGTTTACAACATCCACTGTAACCCATCTGATTGTCACACTCATTCTCTCAGGAGAGAGGAGTACAGGAGAATGACAGAATTGGATTAGATGCTGTAAAGAAGATAACTTATACTTTCTATTAAATGAGATGAACTATGAAAAAAATGTGTTTCATTTTGTTGTAAAATGCAAAGTCTGGCTTCCATACCTTTTACATATTATGTTTCAGGAAACAGTTTGAAATCTTCAAGACACAAAGGGAATCACAATAATTACCGTTTATATTTATTTACATAATTCCACACCTTTTGTTTTTGTATTTCTTCTTCTCTCTTCTGTTTTAGTTGTTTGATTTGAACATGCAGGTGTTTTTCTGACTGGGTCTGCCTGTCCAGCACCTCTTGGTAACTGTTCTTTAGCTGTTCTCTGCAGCTGATAAGTTGCTTCTGCAAGGTGAAGATTAAAACAAAGAAGCATAGGCACCGCAGATCAACTATATACAAATGTACACAGACAAATACTACACACTCACCAAGATCTGCTCAGTCTCCCCATCTGTGACTGTCTCAGCATCTTGCTTGTTTTTATGCTCCGTCTAGGGGAAAGTGTTAACAATTACATACAATAACTTAATATTTAAAGCAGTAGAGCTATCTATACGTGTTCATTAAATCTCATATCAGGTTTATTCCAGAAGTTTGTTTTTTTTTTCCCAAGTCTGCTGCTTTAATTAAGGAAATACTTGGTAAACCTTCTTTGAAAGTCCCTGTTCAGGCTCTTTATGGTAAAGGGTGACAACCATGCTTTATTTGTGCATCTGTGTTGTCACCCTGATGAATGGTGGAGACTAGAAGCAGCTATGCTGACACAGAATGCACAGGCATGTTGGCTTTGTCCACTGCTATCACTATCAGGAAGCCCCTTCAGAGCAATAACATGCAGCTGATGCTGGAACCAGTACATGTAGATAAAAACTGACTGAAACAGGCTGAAGGACATCAGCCATACTAAGATGTGAAAAAGGTGAAAAATAGTATTTTATGGAACAAAACATGGCAATTATTTAAGATACACAGTGCTTTAGCAAACTACAAGTTTTCCAGTTATGGTTTAGATTTACTTTAACCAATAGACGCCCGGCCAATAGCCGTTTGGCGGCCGGAAAAATACATATGGCGTACTCCCAGGCATGCGCAGTTTGCCCGCTTGCAGAGCCGCGCAGTGGGCGCGATCTGTCACTGGCTGTGTACCTCGGACACGGCCGATGACAGATCTGAGTACCGTCCCCCGTTGCCGGTACCATGTGACCTGCTGTGACCAATCACAGCAGGTCACATGACAGTTGTATACAATGGATGGCTTCATTCATGCCATCCATTGTATACTAGTGTCTAGCTGTGAATGGTCACAGCGATCACATTGAAATGGTTAAAGCCCCACTCCAGGCACCAGAGAATAAAATACCCTGGCAGTGTGGTCTCCCCTTACTGTAAGAGTTAAACGTTCAATAAGTATAGAGGAGTTTAGAGGAATCAGGTGTAATACTTACCTTAATTACTCGATCCAGAAAACTTCTTCCATGCTGTGCGGCTGGTTCTCTGAAGCCTCCCACATTTGGCACTCCAGCAGGCAGTGGCATACTAATATCATCTAGTACAATGCAGGACCAGTAGTTGTAGAAGATTAGAGAGGTTAAGGGTGAATTCATACAATAACAGAGAGCTGCTGGAGTGCTTTACAGCTCCGTCAGCTGTCCATTCCTGGCTGCAGCAAGGGGCAGATTCAGTGCATCACTTCACACAGCTCCTTTTTTTTTTTTATACAAACTTTATGTGAAATGTACAAAATATACACTTAATTCATGCAATGACAGCAGATGCAGGAGAAATCACACTAGTGTGAACGAGGCCTTAAGGTAAGTATTTCAGAGTAATGATTATCCAGTATCTCTTTGAGGCAGGAAAGTATATTTAATAAACAGGTCACTGTGTGCTGCACAACTTTCCTCCCTCTCACAACTACGCCTCCCTACGCACACAGCTTCCATGAGTCTGCACTGGAGGGCCCTTCAAGGGCACAAATAAAATATTTCTGAATAAACGGAAAATTTTCTATTAAAACAAATGCCATCACTAGACTTTTGAAATACCAGTGGTGGGAGTGTTTTAGACTCCCTTAATTGTATCAAATGGAAACAAAGATTACCAAAAACCATAGAAGTTTGCAAGGAACGGGTTTCCTTGGTACACATGAATAGAGAAGCAAGGTACTGGGTAAGAAGACTGTGTACCCTACATGTGATCTATAGGTCTGATTGGAATGCACATTTAAACTCTTTATTCCAGCATACCCAAATAAATTCCTCACCTGCACAGAAATGCTCTTGGTTTGAGGTTCATTCCGACTTTCTCCATTCTGGGTCGTAAGTGGTTGGCAATGGTCTTTTTGTGCATCCAGCTGGCATCCAATGTCACCTTCAGGACTGTGAGTTTCTAACATTTTACCAGCTTTGGACAGGTCAGCTTTTCTGGCATCAAATTAACTATGCCTGTAAATTCAAAGATCAGAAGTCATTTCATATGCATTGATTATGTCATGTACCTTTCACCAAACAGTTCCAGGGGAAACAGTACTGCAGTGTCTGACTTCTTTGTGTGGTAACACGGTGCCCCCAATACCACCCAAAAAGCTGCAAAAGGACTTTCATCCCACTGTTTCCGTTTGTTTATCAGACTAATGTCCCGCACAGAGATATACTAGCATTCATATGGGAGTATGATGTCTTTTTAAGCTGACTCAAATGCAGGCTTTAGTCCAAAGCCAGTGCTCCTGGTCAATTCTGAAATTGTAGCAGAAAGGGAAGGCCACTTCTCGAAGGGACTTTTTCTTACTAAAGTAATGAAAACCGTATGTCTTGGAAAGTTGGGTTTTCAGCATGCCCTGGGAGAAATTTAATGGTACCTTTTAGAGCAGTGGTTCTCAACCTTTCTAGCGCCGCGACCCCTTAATACAGTTCCTCATGTTGTGGTGACCCCCAACCATAAAATTATTTTCGTTGCTACTTCATAACTGTAATTTTGCAGTAGGAGGAATAGTGCCCCGTCATTGGTGTCAGTGGGAGGAATAGTGTCCCCTTCATCGGTGTCAGTGGGAGGAATAGTGCCCCGTCATCGGTGTCAGTGGGAGGAATAGTGCCCCGTCATCGTGTCAGTGGGAGGAATAGTGCCCCGTCATCGGTGTCAGTGGGAGGAATAGTGCCCCGTCATCGGTGTCAGTGGGAGGAATAGTGCCCCGTCATCGTGTCAGTGGGAGGAATAGTGCCCCGTCATCGGTGTCAGTGGGAGGAATAGTGCCCCCGTCATAGGTGTCAGTGGGAGGAATAGTGCCCCGTCATAGGTGTCAGTGGGAGGAATAGTGCCCCGTCATTGGTATCAGTGGGAGGAATAGTGCCCCCGTCATTGGTGTCAGTGGGAGGAATAGTGCCCCGTCATTGGTGTCAGTGGGAGGAATAGTGCCCCGTCATCGGTGTCAGTGGGAGGAATAGTGCCCCGTCATCGGTGTCAGTGGGAGGAATAGTGCCCCATCATCGGTGTCAGTGGGAGGAATAGTGCCCCATCATCGGTGTCAGTGGGAGGAATAGTGCCCCATCATTGTGTCATCCCCATCATCGGTATCAGTGGGAGGAATAGTGCCCCATCATCGGTATCAGTGGGAGGAATAGTGCCCCATCATCGGTATCAGTGGGAGGAAATAGTGCCCCATCATCGGTATCAGTGGGAGGAGGAATAGTGCCCCATCATCGGTGTCAGTGGGAGGAATAGTGCCCCATCATCGTGTCAGTGGGAGGAATAGTGCCCCATCATCGGTATCAGTGGGAGTGAGGAATAGTGCCCCATCATCGTGGGAGGAGTATTGGGAGGAATAGTCAGTGGGTGAGGAATAGTGCCCCATCATCGGTGTCAGTGGGAGGAATAGTGCCACCCATCATCGGTGTCAGGGAGGAATAGTTGCCCCATCATCGTGTCAGTGGGAGGAATAGTGCCCCATCATCGGTCAGTGGGAGGAGGAATAGTGCCCCCATCATCGGTCATCAGTGGGAGGAATAGTGCCCCATCATCGGTGTCAGTGGGAGGAGGAATAGTGCCCCATCATCGGTGTCAGTGGGAGGAGGATAGTGCCCCATCATCGTGTCAGTGGGAGGAGGAATAGTGCCCCATCATCGGTGTCAGTGGGGAGGAATAGTGCCCCATCCTTGGTGTCAGTGGGGGGAGGAATAGTGCCCCATCCTTGGTGTCAGTGGGGGGAGGAATAGTGCCCCATCCTTGGTGTCAGTGGGGGAGGAATAGTGCCCCATCCTTGGTGTCAGTGGGGGGAGGAATAGTGCCCCATCCTTGGTGTCAGTGGGGGAGGAATAGTGCCCCATCCTTGTGTCAGTGGGGGAGGGAATAGTGCCCCATCCTTGGTGTCAGTGTGGGAGGAATAGTGCCCCATCCTTGGTGTCAGTGGGGGGAGGAATAGTGCCCCATCCTTGGTGTCAGTGGGGGGGAATAGTGCCCCATCCTTGGTGTCAGTGGGGGAGAATAGTGCCCCATCCTTGGTGTCAGTGGGGGAGGAATAGTGCCCCATCCTTGGTGTCAGTGGGGGGAGGAATAGTGCCCCATCCTTGGTGTCAGTGGGGGGAGGAATAGTGCCCCATCCTTGGTGTCAGTGGGGGAGGAATAGTGCCCCATCCTTGGTGTCCCCAGTGGGGAGGAATAGTGCCCCATCCTTGGTGTCAGTGGGGGGGGAGGAATAGTGCCCCATCCTTGGTGTCAGTGGGGGAGGAATAGTGCCCCATCCTTGGTGTCAGTGGGGGGGGGAGGAATAGTGCCCCATCCTTGGTGTCAGTGGGGGAGAATAGTGCCCCATCCTTGGTGTCAGTGGGGGGAGGAATAGTGCCCCATCCTTGGTGTCAGTGGGGGGAGGAATAGTGCCCCATCCTTGGTTTGTCAGTGGGGGGAGGAATAGTGCCCCATCCTTGGTGTCAGTGGGGGGAGGAATAGTGCCCCATCCTTGTGTCAGTGGGGGGAGGAATAGTGCCCCATCCTTGGTGTCAGTGTGGGGGAGGAATAGTGCCCCATCCTTGGTGTCAGTGGGGGGAGGAATAGTGCCCCATCCTTGGTGTCAGTGGGGGGAGGAATAGTGCCCCATCCTTGGTGTCAGTGGGGGGAGGAATAGTGCCCCATCCTTGGTGTCAGTGGGGGAGGAATAGTGCCCCATCCTTGTGTCATGGTGGGGAGGAATAGTGCCCCATCCTTGGTGTCAGTGGGGGGAGGAATAGTGCCCCCATCCTTGGTGTCAGTGGGGGAGGAATAGTGCCCCATCCTTGGTGTCAGTGGGGGGAGGAATAGTGCCCCATCCTTGGTGTCAGTGGGGGGAGGAATAGTGCCCCATCCTTTGGTGTCAGTGGGGGGAGGAATAGTGCCCCATCCTTGGTGTCAGTGGGGGGAGGAATAGTGCCCCATCCTTGGTGTCAGTGGGGGGAGGAATAGTGCCCCATCCTTGGTGTCAGTGGGGGGAGGAAATAGTGCCCCATCCTTGGTGTCAGTGGGGGGAGGGAATAGTGCCCCATCCTTGGTGTCAGTGGGGGGAGGAATAGTGCCCCATCCTTGGTGTCAGTGGGGGGAGGAATAGTGCCCCATCCTTGGTGTCAGTGGGGGGAGGAATAGTGCCCCATCCTTGGTGTCAGTGGGGGGAGGAATAGTGCCCCATCCTTGGTGTCAGTGGGGGGAGGAATAGTGCCCCATCCTTGGTGTCAGTGGGGGAGGAATAGTGCCCCCATCCTTGGTGTCAGTGGGGGGAGGAATAGTGCCCCATCCTTGGTGTCAGTGGGGGAGGAATAGTGCCCCATCCTTGGTGTCAGTGGGGGGAGGAATAGTGCCCCATCCTTGGTGTCAGTGGGGGGAGGAATTGCCCCATCCTTGGGTGTCATGCCCCATCCTTGGTGTCAGTGGGGGAGGAATTGTGCCCCATCCTTGGTGTCAGTGGGGGGAGGAATTGTGCCCCATCCTTGGTGTCAGTGGGGGAGGAATTGTGCCCCCATCCTTGGTGTCAGTGGGGGGAGGAATTGTGCCCCAATAGTGGGGGAGGAATTTGTGCCCCATCGTTGGTGTCAGTGGGGGGAGGAATCGTGCCCCATCCTTGGTGTCAGTGGGGGAGGAATAGTGCCCCATCCTTGGTGTCAGTGGGGAGGAATAGTGCCCCATCGTTGTGTCATTTGGGGGAGGAATCGTGCCTCATCGTTGGTGTCAGTGGGGGGAGAAATTGTGCCCCATCATTGGTGTCAGTGGGAGGAATAGTGTCCCATCGTTGGTGTCAGTGGGAGGAATAGTGCCCCATCATTGGTATTAGTGACACCAATGATGGGGCACTATTCCCCTCTGACACCAATGATACTTACCTTGCAGACCCCTGCTCCAGCCTGGGCTCGCTCGCTCGCTCCCTCCCTCTCCCATGGTACCGACACTTACCTGTCAGATGTCTTCCTTCTCCGGCCGCTCTCCTCCTCTTCACTCGCTCGATCTTCGCGGTGCCGCTCGGCTCCTCCTCTCCAAGCTCCACCTCCTTGCCGGTGATTGGCCGCCTGTGTGCCTCTCCTGAGCTACAGTGCCGGCGGCCAATCACAGGCGAGGATTGATCTCGAGGTGTGTCCAGATGACAGGGGCGGCATGTAATCCCGCCCACACCTGGAGACGGCGGTGGCGGCGGCGAGGAGCGGTGTCTCGGTTCCTAAGACCATCGGAAATATGTGTTTTCCGATGGTCTTAGGCGACCCCTGTGGAAGCGTCGTTCGACCCCCAAAGGGGTCGCGACCCCCAGGTTGAGAACCGCTGTTTTAGAGGATGCCTTCCATTGTGCTGCTACTGTCAGTGCAAAAATACGCAATATGTGTTTATTTTTCTGCAAAATGCATCTTATAAAGGAATAGTGCAAGCGAGCTGTAACAATATTCTATTTTTTTTTTCTTTACTTTTTGGGCTGTAACAATGTTAGCAGGAAATATGACACTTTAAAGTAGCATTTTTGGCTTTAGGTAACACTAGGCCACTGCTCTATCTCCATCTATAGCTTTGAATGTAGAATTTTTGACTTGACCCCAAAGAACTACGTAAAGGATAATATTATGACAACAACCTGAGTTTTCCTGCGTCAGTTTCTGGGAGTAGGACATGTAACTTCTCTTTATGAACATGGGTCAGATGTTTTGATTCTGTGTACAGTGTAATTTGTTATTCATGAAGGTACTCTGGATCTTATATTGTTTTACTTGTTATATTTACCTGAAAGCTTATCTGTCCACTTTAAAACCAAAAAAAAAAATTGTGTGAAGAAATTTTAAAGTAGAACTCCAGCTCAGCCCCTGCACTTAAAAAAAAAACAACAAAAAACAAATAGCTAGTGTCCCATGTGAAATTATCCTGGAAAACACCCACTTAAATTGGAACTAAACACTATACTTT